CAACCATACCTCACGTTTTTTCACTTGTAGTACTGTTGCTGTTTTAATATCAGTCTACTGTTGAGGGACTACTTGTTGCTGAGGAACTGCTTGCTGTTGAGGAACTGCTTGCTGTTGTGGAACCACTTGTTGCGGAACGGCCTGCTGTTGCGGAACCACTTGTTGTGAAGCTCCTTGTTGTTGAGGGACTCCTTGTTGTTGCGGGACTCCTTGTTGTTGAGGGACGCCTTGTTGTTGAGAGACTCCTTGCTGATGGGGAACTCCTTGTTGTTGGGGAACATCTTGTTGCTGAGGGATTCCTTGCTGTTGGGGAATCCCCTGCTGTTGAGGAATTCCTTGCTGTGCTGGAACCGCCTGCTGCTGTGGAACGCCTTGATACTGAGGGACTCCTTGCTGTTGAGGAATCCTCTGCTGAGCTGGAACGGCCTGCTGCTGTGGAACGCCTTGATACTGAGGAGCAAAGTGATCTGACTGTACGGGAGACGGTTCAACACGTCGTGGAACAGGTGTTGTCGCAGGAGTTGAGTAGGCATATTCTCCCCAACCTTGTTGTCTAGCGTACTCTTCCTCAAATTTCTGCAGCTCTTCATCTGTAAAAACTGGCTGATCACCAATATCCTTCCAACCTGGATCTTTGTTTGGCTGCTGAACCTCGGAATCCTAAAACTAAGTCACCGAGTTTTTGATTAGAGAACAGCAGGCAATTATTTTAAGAAAAAACTCATAAAACCAACTGAGTAGAAGAAAGAACAAAATTAAAAGATAGTGACAAAAAAAAAAAGAACTTCTGTTAAATATGTTAAAAGAAAAGAATTGAATCAAATATTTCCGAATTATCTACATTTTCAACTTATTAAGCAAATGACCAACTCTAAGCGTCATCTGCTCAAGTCTTCTAAAACAATCCAACAATCCCTTTCATAAATCCCTTCACTAAATAAAAGTCAAAAAACAAACGCTCAGAAATTCGTCCAGCGATATCATACGGTCACCGTTCTTGTCCATCTGCTTCACAACATGTTCACGCATTCGGTACATTTCTTCCACCCTAAAAAAAGTATTTTAAAACTCAAAACAATATACAAAAAGAAAAAAAAAGAGAAACAAGGATTAAAAAACCAAGAATTCCTCGAAACTTGTAAATGTACTGAGCTAAGAAAATAAACATTAATTCTAGGCAAACTTTTCTCTAGGGTCATCATCAGGATTCGTATCGTTGTAAAGTTTCTGCAATTCTAGCTGGAATAACGCTTCTAGTTCGCTTTCACTCCAAAACCCGTCACCGTTTAAGTCATGCAGAGCAAAGAAAGTACGCGCATCAAAGGTGTCCTTATCCATCTAAAGAAATGCAGGAAATAATAGTTTGTGCAGCTCGGGTAGAAAAAGAAACCAGAGGTCAATAAAGACAAATAATCGTTACAATCAGATAAAAAAATAATCTAAAAGAAAAAAGCCAAAACAAAACAAG